AATCTGGTGGTAGTGTATATAAAGGTAGTGTGGTGACGACGGTTGGGGAAGAGAACCGTGTTCATAGCGGCCTGTGTAGTTGTGACGACGACAACTGCTGCAGGTGTGCGAGAGACCGGGGAAGAGAGGCGAGCTCTTAGGGCCCGCTGTTGGTGCAATGACAACGATTGCTGTGGGAATGAAAACGATTGATTTTTTCTCTCTACCACAATCTCTCTCAACCAGGACGATTCTAGAAACCAAAAGACAATATGCTATTACTAATGGCTCCCCATCTAATACACCAATGGTTGAGCCAACCAAAAATGTAGCTTATGAGCCAACGGAAATTCTTCGCTCTCGTTTAGTGGGAAAATCTGGCTTCTAAGCCAACTAATTAGATGTGACTTGTAGCCCGCTCTTTTACTTGCAGTGACTTGTTAGTTGGAAAAACCTGGCTTTCAAGCCAATCAATGAAATATGGCTTATAAACAGTGCCATTACATCCACTCTTTTACTTGTAGTTCGATTAGATTAGATTAGAAAAGCTATGTTTCTATGTATAATTTGTGATATCTGTTGTGAGTAGCGACATCTTTAATACTTTCTTAAACCATTTCTTACTTCTTTTATATGATATACACTAAGTCGTGAACTGTGGTATAAAGCATATGAACCTTTTAAGGGATTTGTATACTTAGTCATTGTGTAACAATCGTATAATAAAATGCTACTTTTTGGTTAAGGGTATGTCACATGCTACTTTTCCACAAAATGGACGGTTAGGCTTGCCTTAAGCCAAATTTTACTTGGCCCTTCTTTTTTGAAAACAGAACTTCTCGAGTGCTAAATTTTGTGCGGACAACAGTGTAGAATGCAAAAGGCAATGATAATTAATATGTTTTAACGTGCATTGGAGATTTAATTCATATATAGTGCAAAAAAGATTTTTTTATTTTCATGTAAAGTCACATGTTCAGCTCAAGGTCTAGGATTATATATATCATTTTTGTGCATTTGGGATTACTAACCCCCTCGTCCCCTTCTCTCTAGAAGTACTATTTCAAAGAAGTGTTTATTTATCTAAAAAATGACCTTGCTACATGTACATTAAATTTTACATAATCTATTACATAATGTTACATGTCACTCTATCATGTGTCAGTTTAAAATACATTCAACTTTTTCATTCTATCTTTTCTCTCCTTATCATTTTATGTAATTATTGTAAAATTTTGTTTCGCAAGTGTACGACCTGTAACAAGTAATAGTGGACCTAAGAGTCCGATTTGTCAATCCCACAAGGACTATTTTCTAGCACTTAATTCAATTTTTCTTTAACTACTATTTGACTAAAACAAATTAAAGGTTGTAAAATCTGGGTTTTAATCTAAATTCTAGAAAATAAATGAATGTTCACACGATTGGTTGGAGAATCAAATAATGAATGGATGTTAGGGTAGAATAATTTCACCAATTGATCACCTTTACATCTCAAATTAAAACTCAATTCTAATGTAGCGCTCGGTCGAATTCTCTTATTGTATTCAATTTACCCCTCTCGAGTTCTCATTGAGTCTATTCAACTAATTAAATTTCATATCTCTATGCAAATTCAACTTAATTAAACGAGTTCTATGTCTTAGGAATTCAATTATGACCGCAATAAATGGTATAGTTATCTCTACTCGTTATACCAATATACTGAATTTTACTACATGGTCTAAATCCTAAACTCAAATATCTATTTGTAAAAAATTCATAAAAATCATCAAATTATTGATCAAATAATTTAATGCATTCAATTCATAACAAAATCAACTCATGGAAGAATTAAAAAATGAAAGTCTTAATAAGAGAATGTAAAAGATCTCAATTGGTTACATTATTCCCCCTAACAATGAATTTAGCTACTCATAATATAAGAAGAAAAGTAGGAAATTGTCTTAAAATACATCACCGAGTTTGTAATAAAGATGTAGAAGAAAAAGTAGAATTCTTACACCAAAATCTCCTTCCTCTTCCAATGAATGCTTCTAATCTCCAATTGCTTGGTGTTAATCTTCTTGAATTTCTCTTTTGAATCTCCCTTCTTGTTATCTTCTCTCCAATATGTCAAGAACGTGGTTTGATCCCACAGATTTTTAGTGTGCGGCTCCCCCCTAATTTAGGTCTTCAATTGTATATTTATAATGTCTTGGAGATTAGAGAAAGATTTGGAGATGAGTTGGGCCGAGAAAGAATGGTAAAAACCCAAAAAAATTACTCCCGCAAGGCGGTGCCTGGGCGCTGCGATTTGGGCACCTGGGCATTAACTTTCTATCAAAATTTCAGTATCATGGCACCTGGGCGCTGAGGACTACTTCGGTTGCACTGCACAACTTTTAGTATTTTTATCATAATTCTTTCTCTCGATATTCGATTGAGGCGATTCAAGATGCGTTGGAAATGTAACTCAAAGGGCTACAAATTTGCTTCAGATATTATTTTCCAATTCGATCATTTGCTATGTCAAAAAATGAGTCTCAATATGAGGCTAAAATCCTTGTGCAAAACTTTTTGGTTGGAAAATAATTTATGATCATATCTTCACTAAATTTGATCCCTTTGACACCTTCCTTCATCCAATTGGCTTCTAGAACTCTCGGATCTTCATTTCAAGTTTCAACACAACTTTTGATTAATTGCATTTTAATCCTCGAACTTTGGATCTCTTACATTTTGGTTATTTCATCCAATTTCGCTAGCTTTTGCCTATTTCCTTCCTTTGATCTCTTTTAGCTCTTGTTTTATTCACTTCCATCAATCTACAAAATAACACCAAAATCACTTGTTCGTATTTCTAAAATACTCTCCAAGATAGCAAAATCATGAAATTAATAACATAATATAATGAGTGTAAATCACTCATCAAACACCCCCACTTAATCTTTTGCTTATCCTCGAGCAAACACCAAAACCCATAAAATAATTAATGGACACACAAGCACAACTAAGACAAACAAAATCACTTAAAATAAATTTCGCTAGATAGCTTGCCTTCATATCTCAGGATTAAAAACATAACTTCGATTCCATGAACTACTTCAAAACTATAATGCAAAAGCTAAATTCTCACCTATTCAATGCAAAATGGGTGTGTGTGTGTGTGTGTGGAGAGAGTCAAGTGCAACGCTGTACAATAATAAGTTGACCCAATTCTCGACCTTAGAAGTTAAATTTTTCCTTACTTTGCTCGTGGGATTCACACACCGCCAAACTTATTTTCTTTTCTCTTTTCAAGGGTGTAACCTAATGTTAAATTTTCAATACTAATTTCTTACACCACTCAAGTTTGGTTAGATTTTACCGATTGTAGTCCCATGTGTCAACAAATGAGGATTCTTCTTATTTTTGACTGCTTCAACCTCTAGGAATCAACCAAGTTACTAACCCCTTATCAAAGGTCTAATCCTCTAAAACAAGTGTTCGGGGCTTAATCAAGATATTTTATAGCTATTTTTTTCCTCTTTTTTTAATTTTTTTATATATATCTTTATTCTTTAATTACTCTTTGTGCGGACGTCTCTCCCTTAAACTTTCTAAATGACCCCTGTAGCGAGTTTTAGATCGATGACTCTCAAATCCGATGACTTTAGGGCACCAGGTTTTAAATCCTTACAGGCTTAATCACTCGAGTCATAAAAGTTACGAAGAGACGATTCACAATGAGATTATTAAAGTTGTCCTCATTGGGATCTTTTTTTTATGCGGTGATTAGTGCAATGCCCCTTATTAAACACCTATTCTTGAAAATCGACCTCTAACTTAAGGTTTTCACCCAATTTTCATACTATTGGTCTCAGACAATTCACACAAAAATTAACACACACGAAATCCACATTTATCTCCAAATTTCCCTACAGCAGTGCAATCATCCAAACGTCCTAAGTTTGGTTTAAGTGTATTGCGATGTTTAATGGTTGTTTGGATTTAGCATCTAAGTTCTTTATTTCAACCTATAAACGTGGATCAACCTCCTCATGCACAACGCTACAATCAACTCAAGTGTAAAAAATAATTTTCGTTTCACATGAATAAGCAAAAATCTAATTCAAACACATAACTCGTCCACAATTCATAAATCAACGCATGTTCTCAATTACACATATCAATACCGACAAGGTTATCTAACACATACAAGCTTGCAAAAACACGAAATGAAATTTTTTCTTTCTTTTTTTTTTGAATAAAAACACAAATACATAAAACAAGCAAATCACATATAAGCATACGAGAAACTCAACAATGTAAGCAAATGATGTCACTCAACATTGTCCTCAATGTGAAATTTAAAGGAAAAGGAGGAGGACTTCCTTGAAATGTCAGTATTTCCTATGATGTTGTGGTGTCTTGGTGTTGCATTTGATCGACTCTTCTTTTACATTTTCCTCCAAACTTGAGATTTGTCCCATTTCCTCCATGTCCATGTTGGTTTGAGTGTTCCTCAATGTCATGTTCCTGAAAAATTAAATTTGAAAAATTAAACTCATGGAACAAGGATTACTTAGCTCAAACATCTAATAACCAACTTAATTACTCCAAGACCTATGGGTAGAAGAGGTATGGGTGATGATTCATAAATAAACTATAAATTAAACTATCTTAGAACTTTGAAAATAAAATAAAAGCTTGAGTTGCCTCCCAAGAAGCGCTTCTTTTAAGTCATTAGCTTGACTTCTGCCGCTGATTTATCGTGGTGGTTCAAACCAAGTTATTCCATCACTGTATTTTATGCAATTTTCATTGATGCAGTCATTTTTTGCTCTCCAAATTTTGATTTGTCCATTCTTATCTTCACCAAGAAGTTCTCCAAAAAAAAAAAAATTCTGATAGCTTCGTTGATCAGGTAACTCTTTTTCATTAATTCTACTGCAATCATTTTTATTGGGAGGTTTCTCATATTGGATGTAAATATTGAATATCTCCTGCTTGTCCTCCACCCTCAAGATTAGTTCTCCCTTCTCCATGTCAATAAGGGTTCATCCCGTTACGAAGAATGGTCTACCCAATATAATTGGAATGTCTCGATCTTCTGGTATATCCAATACAATGAAATCCACAGAAAATATTAAATTTCCTATTTTTACGAGTACATCCTCAACATTGTCCTGTGGCTTTGTGATTGTTCTATCGGCTAGTTGTAGCGTTATTGATGTTGAGTTGACTTCACCTAGACCCAATTTCCTGTAAGTAGAATACAACATTAGATTGATACTAGCACCAGTGTCACACAATGCACTAATTGAATAGGAATTTCCAATTGAAATTGGTAAACTAAAACTCTCTGGATCTTTCAATTTAGGAGGAAATTTTCTCTGGACTCTTGCACTATGTTCCTCAGTTAATGCCACCGTTTCAAACTCTGGAAGCTTTCTTTTCTTTGTCAACATCTCTTTCAAAAATTTCGTATAACTTAGAATTTGTAGTATCGCATCAATGAACGGAACATTGATCTGGAGTTTCTTGAGAACATCGAGATATTTTTTATAATATGTGTCTTGTTTGTTCTTCTTGAGTTTTTGAGGAAAGGAAATGAGAGGCATGTAAGTTTTGTCCGGACTTGGTGCTTTGGCAACTGATGTTTCTGTACTTTCTCCATTTTCAGTTGCGTTTGGTACAGATTTTTCTACCCTTGTAGCTTCATCAATCACTTCTTTGTCATCTTTTCTTTTGGCTCTCTCTGTAGTGATCTTTGGCGCTTGTACCTCGCTCTTTGTATTTATGACATGAATATTTTACTCTATCGACTTCTTTCGAAGTCTTTGGGAAAACGAAAGTGGAGGTACATATGCTTTAACTTTTACGGGGGCCCTGGGTGGATCGTTCTCCACTACTTTAATTGTCATCAACTGTTCCATAGGATTTATCATGGTATTGCCTGGCAATGTCCCTTGTGGAGGTTCTGCAAATTGTTGTGCTATCTGACCAATTTGTGTCTCCAGTTTCTTGATGGATGCTAATTGATTTTGAAAGTTTGTGTCAATTTGTTGGAACACTTTATCCGTCTTTTGCACATATTGTTGAAACATCTCCCCCAAACTTGGTCTTCTTTCTTGCTGGAAATTATTACCATATGAGTTGAAATTACGAGAGTTATTTTGAATAAAGTTTACTTGTTCCTCTGAAGAAGTGAGCATCATGCAGCTCTCTGTAGCGTGATTTCTCCCACAATTCTCACATGCTGAACTGGCCATCATTGCATTTGCTCCATGTGTTTGCAATTTTACAAGTAATTCTACCTGTTTTGTTAAAGTTGCTATCTGTGCATTAGTAGATGTTGTGATGTCTAATTCACACAATCCTGATGCCTTTGGTGGTATCACTCTTTCTAATGAGAACATTGAATGTGTGGTGGCAATTAACTCAAATAGGTCCATGGTTTGTTGCACTGATTTCCCTAATATCCACTAGCAGAGGCATCAACTTGAGATTTTGACAATAGTGTAAGTCCGGTGTAGAAGTACTGCACTTGGTTTCCTTGAGTGATTCTATGGTTTGGACATTTTCTCATTAGCTCATTAAATTATTCCATACCTCATGATAGCTTTCTCCCTCTTTCTGTTGAAAAGTTTGAATTTTCAATATGATTTTAGCTACTCTGGCCGGTGGAAAGAATTTGTTGCAGAATTTCCTAGTCAGTTCTTCCCATGTAGTAATGCTGGCATGAGGCTCCATATCTAACCACTCCAATGCAGCATCTCTCAATGTAAATGGAAATAGTTGTAATTTAATAGCATCTTCATTGACCCCTGGAGTATGGAAGTTCAGACAATTTTTGAGAAATCTGGAGATATGTGTGTTCGGATTCTCTTGAGGTAGCCCGTAGAATTGCAGAGTGTTGCTCATTAAGTTAATCCAATCTAGTCTGATCTGAAAATTATTCACCCCAAAATCTAGGTACACAATACTGGAGCCCATGGGTACTACTATAGGTGTTAGGAACATTGATACTGACAAATCACCTTCATTTATTTCCCCTCGCTCATGCTGCTGTTCCGGTGGTGCCACCACTCTTGCGGCCATTTGTCCAATCGACTGAATAGAGATATGAATTTGTTGATTGTCAGTCATTTGATGTTGCTGTTTTTGTTTGTGTTTTTTGTGTCTTCGTCTGAAGGTACGTTCTATCTCCGAATCAAACGATTCAAGATCGTCGCCTTCGGCACGGAGCATACAACGAACACAATTTTCTATAAATAAAAGAAAAATAAACAAATAAAATAACAATTAATAAAGAAATAAATTAAGTCTAAAAGAAATAATCCCCGGCAACGGCGCCAAAAACTTGTTGTAAAATTTTGTTTCGCAAGTGTACGACCCGTAACAAATAATAATGGACCTAAGAGTCCGATTTGTCGATCCCACCAGGACTATTTTCTAGCACTTAATTCAATTTTTCTTTAACTACTATTTGACTAAAACAAATTAAAGGTTGTAAAATCTGGATTTTAATCTAAATTCTAGAAAATAAATGAATGTTCACACGATTGATTGGAGAATCAAATAACGAATGAATGTTAGGGTAGAATAACTTCACCAATTGATCACCTTTACATCTCAAATTAAAACTCAATTCTAATGTAGCGCTCGGTCGAATTCTCCTATTGTATTCTTATCCCTCTCGAGTTCTCATTGAACCTGTTCAACTAATTAAATTTCATATCTCTATGCAAATTCTACTTAGTTAAACGAGCTCTATGTCTTAGGAATTCAATTATGACCGCAATAAATGGTATAAGTATCTCTACTCGTTATACCAATGTGCTGAATTTTACTACATGGTCTAAATCCTAAACTCATATTTCTATTTGTAAAGAATTCACAAAAATCATCAAATTATTGATTAGATAATTTAATGCATTCAACTCATAGCAAAATCAACACATGGAAGAATTAAAAACTGAAAGTCTTAATAAGAGAATGTAAAAGATCCCAATTGGTTACATTATTCCCCCTAACAATGAATTTAGCTACTCATAATACAAGAAGAAAAGTAGAAAATTGTCTTAGAATACATCATCGAGTTTGTAATGAAGATATAGAAGAAAAAGTAGAATTCTTGCACCAAGATCTCCTTCCTCTTCCAATGAATGCTTCTAATCTCCAGTTGCTTGGTATTAATCTTCTTGAATTTCTCTTTTGAATCTCCCTTCTTGTTGCCTTCTCTCCAATATGTTAAGAACGTGGCTTGATCCCACAGATTTTTAGCGTGCGGCTCCTCCCTAATTTAGGTCTTCAATTGTGTATTTATAATGTCTTGGAGATTAGGAAAAGATTTGGAGATGAGTTGGGCCGAGAAAGAATGGTAAAAACCCAAAAAAATTACTTCCGCAAGGTGGTGACTGGACGCTGCGATTTGGGCACCTGGGCGCTGACTTTCTGTCAAAATTTCAGCATCATGGTGCCTGGGCGCTGAGAACTACTTCGGTTGCACTGTACAACTTTTAGTATTTTTATCATAATTCTTTCTCCTGATATCCAATTGAGGCGATTCAAGATGCGTTGGAAAGATAACTCAAAGGGCTACAACTTTGTTTCAGATATTATTCTCCAATTTGATCGTTTGCTATGTCAAAAAATGAGTCTCAATATGAGGCTGAAAACTCGGTGCAAAACTTTTTGGTTGAAAAATGATTTATGATCATATCTTGACTAAATTTGATCCCTTTGACACCTTCCTTCATCCAATTGGCTTCTAGAACTCTCGGATCTTCATTTCAAGTTTCGACACAACTTTTGATTAATTGCATTTTAATCCTCGAACTTTGGATCTCTTATATTTTGGTCATTTCATCCAATTTCGCTAGCTTTTGCCTATTTCCTTCTTTTGACCTCTTTTAGCTCTTGTTTTCTCCACTTCCATCAATCTACAAAACAACACCAAAATCACTTGTTAGCACTTCTAAAATACTCTCCAAAATAACAAAATCATGAAATTAATGGCACAATATAATGAGTGTAAATCACTCATCAAAAGCACCAAGTCTAGACAAAGCTTACATGCCTCCCATTCCCTTTCCTCAAAAGCTCAAGAAGAACAAACAAGACACAAACTATGAAAAATTCCTCGATGTTCTCAAGAAACTCCGAATCAATGTTCTGTTCATTGATGCGATACTACAAATTCCAAACTATACAAAATTTTTGAAAGAGATGTTGACAAAGAAAAGAAAGCTTCCAGAGTTTGAAACTGTGACATTAACTGAGGAAAGTAGTGCAAGAGTCCAGAGAAAATTGCCTCCTAAATTGAAAGATCCAGGGAGTTTTATGTACCATTTTTTATGTAGAAATAGCTTAACCCTCTAAAAAGTGCATTTTAAACTACTATAGGTTCTCTAAAAAGGCACTTCAAGTCAATGACCTGATAAATTTCACTCTTGTCACTTAAATTAGGTCTTGAGCTCCTTAATAAAAAAAAAAAAAAAGAGTAATGTTATTTAGCCTTACTATGATTATTACCCCAGCCTAGGTGACCTTAACGTGGCATTAAATGATAGGTAAAATTAAATAAATTAAATAATTTCATCTATCATTTAACCTATCATCTAGCGTCATTTAAATTGGGGTTGTAACTCTAGGGAGGTTACATAGCATTAGTCTAAAAACTACTTCTACGAGAAGCTAAAAAGTTATCATTAATTAAGAAATATTAAATTTATCCAAATTATCTATAAAATAAAATGTAAATCCTAGCCCTAATAATTTCCTCGTAAACAACCTCTTCTCTTTTCTTTGTGCCAATTCACGTAATCAAATTCAAATTGAATTTATGTTATTGATTCATCTGCGTTCATTAGCTATTGTTGTTGTTGTTGTTGCCGTCGTCGTCGTCTCTTTACTTCTTTGTTTATGTGTCGCATGACGAATTGATCTTAAGTTGAACATTATAGGATTAAATTCATCAATGGCCACCCAACTTTATGCTTAATATCATGGCCACTTAATTTAATTTTTTTTCACCACGGCCATTCAGCTTTATATTATTGTTACAATGGCCTCCAAAATTTACTTTATTTCACCATAGCCACCCAATTTCATATAACGTTTCGTTGTGGCCATTGGGGTTGGACAGGTCCGATTTGGTTCTAACAAGAATTAAACCATCCCAAAATTTTTGGGTGTTTAGTAAGTGGAACCATCAGGTTCAAATTTTATTATGGAATCGTTCGGGTTCGGTTCTATTCGGTTCTCAGGTTCTGTATTATAATTAAATTTTTTAATATTCACACATAGTTTAATTAATAATATGTTCAATCTTAGTTCCTACAAAGTAACGTAGTTCAATCTTATGTGTCTTTTGCGTCTCTTTTTGTTGAATTTTTCATAGATTTGATTGTTAAAAATTACAGGAAGTGGAAGATAGCGAGCTCAAAAAAATTAAGAGAGGCGTTGTGAGTTTTAATTTGATTTCTCCAGAACGGTAGAAACGATATTATGGTACAGTAACAGATAAGTTGGCTTTTGAACTGAAAATTAGAAATAAGAAAATCATATATTTTTTTTTTATTTAAATTACTAGTTAACAAATTTATTTAGAAAAAATTAAATAATTTTGTTTATTTAAAATAAATTAATTAAAAAAATTGGGGAGATTCGATTCTTGTTCGGTTCTTTGGGTCTTGATCTAAAATCAAGAACCGAACGGAACTCGTCAGTTTCGCATTTAGATACCTGTTTCGGTATTTAACTTAAGAAAAATCGTTCGGTCCGGTTCGAGAGTTTTGTCCAGCTCTAGTGGCCACCCAACTTTTTTCCCACCATTTTCACTAATTTTAAAAGGGATAAAATGGTAACTTTGCATTGTATATATAAAATAAATTAGAAAAGCAAAAATAATTTTTTATTTAGATTTCTTTTTAAATAAATTTTTACTTTCTTTTATTTTCTAAGTAACATTTTTTAAAATAATTCTTTATTTTATTTAAAAACTTTTTTTAAATAAGTTTTTATTTTATTTTATTTTTTTAAGGAACGTTTTTTAAAATAAATTTTTATTTTTTTAAGTAACTTTTTCTTTAAATAACTTTTTAAGTAACTTTTTTTTAACATAAGTTTTTATTTTATTTTATTTTATTTTTATTTTTTTAATTTATTTTATATATATAATGTTACCGTTTTACCCATTTCAAAATTAGTAAAAAGGGTTAAAAAAAAAGTTGGATGGCTATGATGAAATGTTATATAAAATTGGGCTGCATATGAAATTGGATGTCATAGTGAAATAAAATAAAATTAGATGATCATGGTGATGCTAAATATAAAGTTGGGATGTCAAACAGTTAATTAAATTGTAACATCACTTTTTAGATTGACTACCAAATAATCAACAATTTTATAATAACAAAAGTTCTTTAAAATAAAATGTAAAATATCTCTATTGCTAAAAATCAATCTATCGCCCTCTTTACTGACTTGATGCAATATAATGGAACTGTTTTTAATTACGATGCTTTTGTAACTAAGAAGGCTTCCTTTGTCAATGTGGCTATGTTAAATTTTTTTTCACAGTCTGTTTTATTACTTGGGCAAATTACTTATACGAAAATAATATATACAGTTTACATGTAACATGAATATCTTCAAACTAAAAACTCTTTTATATTAATCAGTATAAGGATAGCCGTCCATTTGATTTGACAAAAGTAAACCTAATACAAATAATTAGTAGGTAATTAATCCATATTTGGTTCTTGAGAACTAGTAGCTGACCTAGGACGATATGTATAAATGGAAATTAGGACTCGTATATATTCCATCACTGGTTATATATATATATATATATATCTTTGAGCTGGGACCTTTGTTTCTTTAATACTTGGTATTCCATTTGCATTGTAGCAAAAGATTTAGAATCAAGTTATTTTTGAAAGCATAATTTTTATATCATCGCATGCTCAGGATGGTGTCAGTGCGAAAGAATATCCACGTGCCAATTGCTTAACAATTATAGAGAAATTAGTGTTCTTGTTTATGTATATTGTTTGATTTGACAAGATTCTTGTCTTCAAAGTTAAAGATGGGATGGGACGGGACGGGACGTGAGAGTGGCGGAGATTGAACCAACCTAATTTTTTGGGAAAATACCAAACGAACATAATGTTTGACACAAAGAATGATATCACATTCACAGTCAAGGTGTGAGTCCCGTGCGAATAAAATAATGTCGACCTCCCATGTGAGTTTATTGTGTCAACCAATGTGTCAAACTTTGTGGTAATGTAGTATAGTTGATCTTTTTGTGTAATTCTTAAATCCATCACACAAAAAGTCCAACACACGAAAAAGCTCTTTTGCACAGTGGGATTATTTAAGATTGAAGAGTTACCCAACCGTCGTAAATCATCTTATTTTTCGCAAAAGTCCTAAAACCCCTTCTTTTTTTTTGAAAGTTAAAGCTGCAAGTGAAATCAAAATTTCCACATTTAACTCATAACTCATATGCTTAATATAACACTGAAAAGAAAATCAACTGCAAGATTTATAATTGATATTGTACTAGTTATATATTTTGATATAAATAACTTCATCTTTTTGCATTGAGTACATGTTGATGGGTCGTTTGTGCAACAAGCAATATGCTTACTTAGTACTTGAGAGTTAACTATTTAAAAATAGTTATTAAACTAGGACTTACAACTTTAATTCAGTTTTTTAATTATTATTACTTGCTTTAAGTACTGTTAAAAGTTTATTTGTCTTTCTAGGGTTTTGTTAAAGATTTAGAGAATTTCCAGTTGTACTTATAAGTAGTTGTTAAATATTGCTGTGGGTTTTTATGGAACTTTGCATATGCCATGGCTGAAGATATTATTATTTATGCTTAATTTTGTTTAATAGTTTTGGATATTTTTAAATGATTTTACTTGTAATAAAAAATTGATTTTCTTGTACTGCTCCTCTCTCGGGTGTAGGCAATTTGTAGAGTTACTTATCTTGTCAAACTTGCCTTTAGGAGCATAGCTCAGTTGTGCAAAAGACAAGAGTGAAGTTATCTCACGCATTGCTGGCAACCGTAGTGTGGAGATTCGATTCCTAAGACATGAAATTGAACTCCTTGTAGACAAGCAGCTCTTGTTTCTTGGCTTGCTGGAGCACATTATATATATATCTTGTCAAACTTAACTTTTAAAGATATTTTTAAAACTAACAAAATTTTATTTGTCTAAGAAGTAAATGGTCAAACGTGCTTAATTTTAAGGATGCAAATATGACGAAGCCAAAAGGGTAAAGAAAAATGTTACCAAGCACTAGTAATATATATTAAACAAGGCAATAGATAGAATTATTAGAAGTGTAAGACAGGAAGGCAGAAAGTGGTAATGAAAAAGCAGCTCCAACATGGGCAGCTCATTGGTTCGACAACAGTTGGATTTGCACATGACGAGCAATAGCATGCTGACCAGAATCTAAACTGTTGTATACTTAAAAGAAGAAGAACCAAGTGAGACTGGATGCATCCGTGTACCCTGTACATCTCCAAGTGATCTCTATCCAATCACGTGCTGCCAAGTAATAGTTTGCGGGTATTATTTTCCTTTCAAGAGTCAAAAAGTTATGCGTTTTCTTTAGTTAACAAAATCCATCTACTTTAAAGGTCATTTGCGCACAATGTTATATGCAGAATCTGAAAAAATATTTTGAGTGATGTGTAAAGCCCTAAAGGCGTGGTGGGTTCCAACCATGGTGCTAGTTTGGATATTAAAATCAAGGAAGAGAATTTGAGGATGTATATATAAGGTTGCAACCTCCATATCCTAGAAAGTTATCTGTGTTTTAAGGGGGTTTTTGAGGAGGGAAAGGGTGCAACGACCTCGAAGCTAGTTCAAACTAGTGGGAGGTTGTCTGCAAGGCAGCAAACTTAGTTAAAAGCTAATTACAGTATACGAGTAGAGACATTATCAATGGCTCGTGGAAAGATTCAGATGAAGAGAATTGAGAATCCGGTGCATAGGCAGGTGACTTTCTGCAAGCGCCGTGCAGGGCTCCTCAAGAAGGCTAAGGAGCTCTCCGTTCTGTGCGATGCTGAAATTGGAGTTTTCATTTTCTCCGCCCACGGAAAGCTCTATGAACAAGCCAGCAAAGGGTACTTCAAATTTTCATTAATACTGCTATCATTTTTTTCATTGTAACTAATCTTTTTAATTTTCCTCTTATATCATGAAGAACCATGCAGAGTTTGATAGACAGATACATGAAATATAACCGGGGAGCTCAAGCAGAACAAGTGATCAGAGATAAGGAAGTTGTGGTAAGTAATATCTCTCTCTCTCTTCCCTTGAATCCGTTAATGGTAGGTTAAACGCGCTATTTCAAGTTTCGGAAAGTCCTCTAAGTCCATTTTTACTGTTGGGTCATCAGAGATCACAAACAAGATATCTTTCTGCAACTTGAATTGTAGAAACAGATTCAAATGTATGAATACAAATACACATACGCAAAAGGATATTACAATTTCCATGATAAAGAATCTGATGCTGCTTAAATTTTAATTATAGCTTGATGAAAATAAAGCTATAGTGCTAGAAAGCAGACAAATTTTATTTAATTCTGATCCCTACTTTTTGGAGACAAAATTCAATGGGAGTAGCTTTATCTTGCTTTATAAAATCACAAGATGTTATTCAATATTCACTCGCTAGCTAAACTTCTTTACCAATCATTTCGAAAACCTATGGTAGGTATCTCTCCTAATTGTATCTCGCAGCTACATCCACTTTTGGTTTTTTATCTACCTTCCACATTGCATATTTAAACAGAAAGGGGGGAAAATGTTGATGTGCTTGCCTAAGCTTAAAACTAACTTAAAGTTAATTTTTTAGGTAAATTTTAGTTTGTTTGAACGAGTTACTTTTTGTTTGATCCATATTATTTTTAAAATATATATTTCTTTCTATTCTTTTCAACTGCACAATCTTTAATAGAATAATATCACACGCAAACTCAAAATTTTTCTTTATTTTTTAACTACATTTTTCCATCAATATATTATTCCAAAATGCATTCTTTACCAAAAATGGTGCGTAAACAGACNGGTTAGCCTATATATTGAGATGACACCTAATTATTTTCGATTGCAGTATGGTCTTTCATTCTATTAGGAAATTCCCCTTATTACGGAGAATATTTTGATAGGGAAGGTCAGCAATATTCATTCAATTACATTACAATTTTTTTTTTTTTTAATATTCATTCAATTACATTCCTTTTTTTTTAATTTTTTTTTTAAGTCCATAGTGTCACTAATATATTTTTAGGAAATTTACAAAATACACCCTTCGGATAGAGTGTATTTATGCTTTACATACCACATTTTACATCATTGTAAACTTTTGCTATAAAATTTACAAATTTACCATTAAAACTAGACCAAAATACCAATATTCAAAAACTATAAAATTTACAAATTTCTCTATAATTTATTGAAAAATTAAAAAAATTCTTTCATGTCAAAGGAGGGAATACTGAAGGAAGCGAACAAGTATCTACAAGATAAGGTACGTAATGCAAAATTAGTACGACACATTCATTTTGAATATTCAAATATAATTGAAAAAAAAAACTGTAATTTGGATTTTCTCATTTATTATTTGATTATTAATTTGTTTATTCGTAATTAACAATTATTCACAATAGTTTTTGATATTATATATTTTGCAGATGGATGAGCAATATGGGATTGATAGCATGGCACAAATGCTTAGTAACACTGAATACCCACTAATGACTAACAATCAGTTCCCTCTAACCATACAAAATGAAATATATCAGTTCTAATATTTGCTCTATTAATTTATGAGTGTATGAGTGTTGTAATAAAAGAATATTTGGGTGTCATATATATTGAGATGTTGAGAGTGTTGGAATAATTTCAAGTATGGGCTTCACATTCGATTGTGAATTTTACAGGTTAGATGTATGGCTCACAATGATATTATAAGTATGCCAATTATGTTAAGTAATCAATTTGGACTGTTTTACACCTTACGGGTTTTATTTGATATAATGTGGTAATTTCGAGTATGTGGGTCGAAATTATGCGTAAACCCTAATTAGGGTTTAAGTTGATAATGGAACGACTAAATAAATTTCTATATAAAGGTCCCCTCTCCTCATCATATGGTTTTATTGGCTTACCCCGTTGATGGCCACACTTTTGTGAGGAGTAAGGAGGGAAATATCTGACTACTATTATTCATATCAGCAATGGCTTCCGCATGTATGAATTCGATTTATCAATTTATAATTATATGATTTTTGATTCTTAGCATGATTAAAAATTTAATTTCAACAATTGGTATCAGAGTCTACATGCTAAGATTAGTATCCTTCGTAAAAATAAAATAAAATTAATAAAGTTCTTTTCAATTTTCTGACCTAATCATTCTAAAATTTCTAATGGTTGACCAACTGTGAAATTTAAGTCATCTAATTCTGTCTTCTTCTAGTCCCCAATTCAAGTTTCTATCATCCATATAATAGTTAAGTCTCTTCTGCTGCAAAGTTTCTAAAAAAAAAAAAGAGTTCTTCCCACTAATGCGAGGGCAGAACCAACATCTAATAATAATAATAATAAATCTTTATGAAAAACCTCTATTGAAGCCAATCTTCTCTCTCTGAATTATGAATCTTACTTTGTTAGTAGCAACAATGGCTTCTCACTTCCTTCTAACGACCCGAATTAGGTTGGCATCCCCATGTGCGAACCGTTTCCTTCCTCCTACTCGCATGCTTTCCTTAATAAATTGTCATCCTAATTTTCACAATTTCTTTTTAATAGTAATTTGGTGCTGCTTGAAATAGGATTTGTGGATTGTTAAAATTAGGATTGAATTTGTGTGTGGGTATTTATTATATATGGTTTACTGTTATGTTCTATGCACA